AAAAAAAAAAAAAAAAAAAAAAAAAATCAGACTGCCTGGGCTCGTGCCTTGGTTCTACTCCTTACTTAGTGTGTAATCTTACACAAGGTATATAACCCTGCTACACCTGAGTTTTCCCTCGGTAAAGTCTGTGTAAATGATTGTATCAATCTCAAAAGGCTGTAGCGATGATGTAATGAGACAGTAAATGTAAAGTACTTAGTATCTGGTATAGAGCAAGTGCCTTTAATTAGTTATTTATTTTCCCACAATTTCATTATTATTATCGCATGTTTAAAAATCACCATTCTCAGTCATAGTAAATGATGGAGTTTTATACTTCAGAAAGCATGAAAACCCTAGAAACATGTCTATGAGCAGTCTTTTAAAAATGGAGAAAATGGATAATATAAAATTTCCCATCAGACTCACATCTAAGTGTGCAGTCAGCTATGTTAAATATATTCATATTATTGTGCAACCCATCTCCACACCTTCTTCATCTTGCAAAGCTGAAACTGTAGACCCAGTAAACAGCGACTGCAGTTTCCCCTGCTCCCAGCTTCCATTGACAGTCATTCTACTTTCTGTTTCTATGAATTTGACGGTTTCCGGATACTTGACGTAAGTGGACTCCGATTTGTATTTCCGTGGCTAGTTTATTTCCCACAGCACAATGGCGTCAAGGTTCATGTATATTGGCGTATGTGTCAGGATTTCCTTACATTTTAGGCCTGAAGAATCTTCCACTGAATGTGTATTCCACGTGTAGTTCATCCATTCATCCACTGATAGTGAGTTTACTTCTACCCTCTGGCTGTCGTGAGCAGTGCTTCTGTGAGCGGGGGTGTATGGATTACAAGCAGATTTTCTGCTGAGTGAAAAGTGATCAATGAAAGATAAACTAGCATTTAATTAAGTGAGTGCAGGGGAGGTGCTAACAGTCAAAGGATGTTCACACCATTCCATGATGCGAGCCTTCACGGCCATTGTGGAGTCTAGCACACATTCTAAGAGATGATCAGCGTTTGTAGCCACTGAGGATTATAATCACTCTCTCACGCAGTTTCTTTCTTCTGAGGCTGGGGATGACACACAGGGCTTCGTGCAGGCCAGGCCCCCTGGGTACTAAAAGTTTAGGGCCCTTCCATTTTCTGTTTGCAAATTATCCATCTTATATAACGGTTTTTAAACTGTGGATGACAACCCGGAGACTTACAAAGAAAGTTAGTTGGTTTTAACAGTGTATACCTATATGCAGTTTTGTGGTATAAATATTTTTTCTATATTTATATATATGTAATGAAAATTTTTCAAAATTAAAAACATTTTCCGAGAATACTATAACTACTCTATATTATATTCCTTTTGTACTTTGCTCTCCACCTCTCGCCTAAGCCTGGGGAGTACAGCAAATGCCGGTCCCAGCTGTTTCCTTGTTAAGCAGCTATTTCCTATCACATGCAGGGTAATGGGCACAGGATTAAATGAGACATACTCTCAAGAGCTTTTGGTCAATAATTCTATAAACAATGCATTTGTTCTATGTTATATCTTGACATTTTAGTACCTTGCGGGGCATCTGATGTACAAGCTACATATGTAAGCCTTGGTTATAATTGAATCTGTTCTTCATCGAGCTGTGTGGCTGTACTCGTTATTTATTGTCCACAACTTCCGGCCAAAAGGGTAATAGTCCCCAGCCAGGGTGTATTGGAAAGAGGAAGGAGGGAGGGACCGAACACTCACCGAAACAGTCAAAGATGCAAAAAGATATAGAAGACCTTGTTTCCTTAGAGACAGAGAGAAAGCATATCTGGAATTGAAGTATGGTAACAATTTTCATGCTTCTAAATGCTTTTAGCGTGACCTCTATTCCTGAAATTCTAACTCTTTCCTCCTCCTTTGGTTGCAAGGAAAGAAAAAAGAAATACCAAACTAAATGTGGGTACAGGCTGGGAGAATTGCTAATTGGCTAGACATTCATTCATATTTATTGAAAGGCTACTCTGACTATCAGAGGCACTTAATTGACATTAGTTGGAATGTACAAATTTCAGATGGGTATTTATATTTACGTATGCAAATCCTTTCGTGCTTCTCTTTCATATATTATGATTGCCTGTGAAAACATCATGAGGCTTATTCGGTAGCATGATAAGTAAAGTAAAATACAACCTGTATATTGCTTCAAGAAATACGATGAACACAATTATGAATTTAGTAGTTTGAAACAAAGAAAACCAATTCTATAAAGAAATTCTTTCCTAGAAAAGTTGAAATTGTTCAAGAAGCCCTTATCCAAAGTTAGCACTTCGGCCTCACGCTTATTTGGATGGGGGGCTCGTTCGTCCTGCGGGACTCTGGCGGTGAGTTAGGCCAGTGGGACTCCTGCACAGCACACTGTGCTACACCAGACACCCCTGAGATAACAAGCCTGTGCTTGTCCTGATCAGCCTTTTACCAAGAACCGGCACGCAAGAATCAACCTCTGTCCAGGCCCTCGCATTCACATCAGGACGTCTTTAATTAGATTCAACTCCTCTTTATCAGAAATATCTCATTATCTCAGTTATCCCCAGGTCTCCAGGTTACTCCTTCGCATACCTCGGGAGCTGCAGGCAGGAACATGTTACATGGTCATAGTCCACCAATGGGTCCCGCAGCCTGTGTGGGGAGCCGGTCTTGTACGCTCCAAGATCCCTTTTTTACTATCTTTGGGGAGAAGGTGACACAAAATGACAGGTTCTATCTGGATTTGATGTAAGGTGCTAATACATTACATTTTGTAACTAATAAAATTTCAAGGACTGACAGCAAATTTCGGATTTGGATTTTTTTCTCTACTAAAATGTCTGCTTTGAATTATGCAGAAAGAATTCCTCTTCCTGCCAACTTGTTTCAATTTCCCATGCAAAAACCATCCACAGACCCTCATCAGGGATTTCCTATAGAGGTTCATTTTAGGATTCTTCAGTCATTGCAGGAATACAACACACATACACACAAACACACACACTCACACGCACACACATCCACCCACACGCACCCCATTGTTTTGGAACAAGCAAAGGAAAATGTACCAGCAAGGTTTGTACGTGGTACTTCCCCTTTCTAAAAGCAGAGATGGTCCTGTGTTAGTCATCGACGGGGTAGAGTCTTTCCTTCTCACCGGAGGCCAGAGTCCTGTTCTGTGAGCACAGGCCCGCCCTCTGTGTGTGGGTAGAGCAGGCAATTCCAGTGTGGTGTGTGATTTAAGAGGTGCTGGAAGTTCTGCCTGTCCAAAAATAGCTCCACTTGTGTGTTGAAATCAGGCACACTGTCCATAAAGCCTTGGTCTAAATGAAATGAAACTGCGTTTTCAGAATGCTGGCCCAGTGAATGGGTGACGCTTTCAGCATGCCCTTCCTTATTGGAGATAACAGCTGAATCCTGGGAGGACGTGCACACAGACAGGGAGAGAGGGACAGGGGGTACCAGGGACAGGGGGTTAGGCAGCGAGCTCCGTATAACTCCTGTAAGTTCGTTAAGCTAAACCTCTCCCGTAGTATTTCAATCAGTGTATCATCTTTTCTAAAATCGGTATTTTCTAGAACATGGTATTTCCTGAGATAAATAATGTACTTTGCTGGGACCCCTAAAGAATACAATAATAATGATGACGGTGAAAATAATAATGAATCCCACTTGGAAGATTTTTTGAGAGCAAACTATTTTCAAACATCAAATTTTGATGCCAACAACCACCTTGTCAAGCAGGCTGCAATATTACTTACTGTATCACACAGCAAGTGAAAAAAGTCTCGAAGAGGTCGGGTGACTTTCCCCACCGCCTGGGGCTAATAACCTCAGAGGCTCCCATGAAACCTGGTCCTTCTAACTTCAGGTCTATGCTCCCTTTATCACTTCGAGCACTCCCAGACACAGTTCCTGTAGTACAGAGATCAACAATTATCCTTCTTTATTTTGCTTAAAATTGCTCTAAATAAAAGAACAAGCTCTCGAAGTTTCCTTTAGTGGAATTATTGAGCAAGAGTTTCCTCTTGTCTTAAAATTCTTAAAGGCAACAATGAGGCACACGTTTGGCATAACAAATTGGAATGAGATTTTACTAGTCATCCATATGACTCTCCACACAAAAAGTTAGGACCCTAATAAAATAATAAAATTCAATTATAATATTGAATGTTTTGTGTAAACTTATGAATCACACCAACAAACCAAATTCAGTAGGGAAAGGAAAAATAAGAATTGGCAGAAATTAACTAGGATATTCTCTAGAAGAAGCACTTGAGCTCTGGGGGTATTTTGAGAAGAGACCAAAAATTGGGGTAAGAGGCTAAGCCCTGCTCGCTTTCCGGCCTTTCTGCAAGGCTGGCTTGGGAGAGCAGGTTTGGCTAGGTATCAGCCCTCACCAGCCTGTCATGGAGTCCCCTTCTTTAAGGAATAACCTTGCTGAAGGTCTGTGTGATTTGTGTGCTAGTTCTTTTATTCAGCATGTATTTTATTGTTCCTTCATCTTGTGTCAATTGCAAAGCTCTTCCAGCCTTCAACCTGCTTAAGTCTAACGAAAAACAGAGGGAGATAGAAATGAGTAACTCTGTTAGTGCATCACAGCAAGTTTTAAAAGGTACACTGAGTGCACCGAGCAATCCCTACATATTTCTAAAGTTTTGTTTTATTTTGTTTTTTTTGTTTTTTTTTTTTGTTTTTTTTTGGTACCAGGAATAGGACCCAGTGCCTCACACTTGCAAGGCAGGTGCTGCACCACTGAGCTACACCTCCAGTCCTAAAGTTTTGAGAGAAAGGTTATAAGAAAATGGCTTGAAAGCCCCTGCAATGTCAGGCAAACATAAGAAGGCACAGGATGACCGGGGATTTCTAAAGAGGGTATCCCCAGTGTGTAAAGAGGGAAAGTAGAAGGAGCAGCCAGGAGAAGTGGTTGGCAGTTGGTCAAGGCCAGGCCATGAAAGATCCCCCTGTGCCCTGCTCAGGAGGGTGGGTGGCCACCCTTCAGGCATGAGGAGCACTGAGCAATTCTGAGCAGGGGAGGAAAATATTAGAATCAGAGTACAGGAAGGATTCTGACAGAAGATTGGAGGATTAAAATAGTTAAAGAGCTCAGATACAGATAAAAATAGTTAAGTGACGTGTAGTATTTAAATTGTATATAATTTATTAGCTGTTTAAATACCAATACATGTAATTACAGAAAAATTGGAAATTAGAGAGAAAGCATAACTCATATAGTAGACAAATGCTTAAGAAATATATGGAATATTCCACCACTCAGAGTTGTGTCCCTTCTTTTACATTGTAGATTTTATATCCTCTTTCCACATATTATGATATTATCATTTTTCTAAATCAACATTCAGCATATGTAACAGAAATCACATCTCTCTTCAGTAATGTATGCAACCACCCCTCTTCTGCTAAATTTAGACTGTTTACTAATAGTTAAAACCCTGATCGTTTCCTTATAAAAAAATTTATGAAGCAGACTCACTGGGTCAAAGAACATAAATCTTTTAAAAGTCTTGATATGCATGGTTAAAATTCACCAGAGACAGTTCGCGCCAAATCACATTCTTTCTATCAGTTCCAATTTAACCACTCCCTCTTCTGCATTGTATTTTTAATGCCGGTCAATTTGATAAGCAAAACTTGTAAGGTTGAATATGTAATCCTGTTTTTATTGGCTGTGTTTTGCAAACGTGGAACTCATTAAAGTGCAATGATTGTGTAATTTTGTTTTTAGATTGTTTTTTAAGATAATGGGAGGAACCCTCTACTGTTGAAATTCAGGATAGGAGATATTTCCTTTAAGTAATTTAAAATAAACTTTAGGGGCCGTGATGGATACCAGCAGGATGAGCCATCATTGGCACCTGCTTAGTGTCACCAGCATACTTCAGGAGGATAGATGTGCAGAGCTGCTCAGAAGGTGGACTGCAAGAGGAGCCTCAAGGGAAATCCAAACAAAGCCTATGGCAGTGGGACCAGGAGCCACAGTCTCTGATAGGGAAGTCTGGGAGGGGGCTGCAGGAAGCTCTTCCACTCCCTCTTCCAACCTCCTTTCAGCTCTATGTACCAGTGGTCTAAAGTGGCATGCCTCAAGCCACTTGCAGAGCCTGTTAAAAATGTGAACTCCAGGGCCAGGGATGTAGCTCAGTGGTTCTGTCACCTGCCTTGCAAGTGCAAGATACTGAGTTCGATTCCCCGATACCCAAAAAAAAAAAAAAAAAAAAAAAG